AATGTGGAAACCATAATTTATTTTCTGCTTCTTTCTACTGTTTCCATTTATTTATAAATGTATGACTAAAATAAAGCATCTTTAATACCCTTCAAATTAGATTGAAGATATAATCAAGAACTGGGGAGAAATTATAAAACTGAAATTAAAATTGAAATCATGGCTTCCAGTGGCTTTTTTACTTAAATATAGTAAGCTCCTTGTTATATTAATACTTAGGATGAAATCTTATTTTAAATATTTCTGGATCATACTGTTACCAATGGAAAATATAAAGCAGATTCTATTACCAGAATTAAAGGACTGAAAAGAAGCAGTTCATGCAATACTATATCCTAGTGTCTACTAGCTTGTCTGTCTTTGCCTGCTGTCCTGCTTTGTCAGCAAAATTGGAATTGAGCGGAAGTGCAGTGCACCTAGGGAACTAGCTCACCAAATGCCCCTTCACTTTAGGAACAACGTCATGAAATATAATTGCTTCCCCCATTTAAGGGTGATGGTTACTTTGTGAGGTGAGCAATCCTTATACTCTTAGGATGCTTCGCATGCTAGCAGCAAAAAATCTACATCCTTTACATTATAAATAACTCATCTGATAAGTTTAGAAAGGGCAAGAATTAATGTGGGTATACCAAGGTTAACAACAATGAGTATAAATACTGTTTGGAAACCCAACTGAGAACTAGTGTTGCCTTTGGAGAAGCAGGAAAACAGTATCATAAGTCCAGAGCTAACAAAGGGGGGGACCTCTTCCTATTACGCTTCCACACATGTCTCACCATAGCCTTAGAAATTGACTATAGATGAAGGGGAGGAAGAAAAGAGGCAAGCAGTCTGGGGTTGGAAATAGGGATGAGATTGCTACCAAGAGATGGACAGGGGGTTGTAGGAGGCAGGAGACAAGAAAAATGGTTAAAATAGAGTTGGTTGGAAAACAAAGTTTGCACTGACACTTTCCCACTGTTTCATCTACTGCCCATCTTTATAGCCAAATTTCCATACAGGAGTCCCACTATTTGGCAGGCATTTAACTAGCTTGGATGCTCAAATCTTACCACCAATAAATAATGATAATTGATAGGGAATATGATATCTATGTACCTATATATTTTCTTCTAAAGGGTACAGCAGACCTCAGTCGGTATTGTGGATCTAGTTCCTTACACTGTATGTAATGTAAGTGAACTAATATCTATTGTAGGTGGAATGATAATTAACAAACCTGTACATTTATACTAACAAATAAAAAAATCTGTTAGTTATTTGGTATCTTTCTTTACTTGATTTTTCAACAGTATCGTTGTGCTTGTTATTTGCACAAACAGAAGTTTTCATCTATCTGTTTCTGTTTCTTTACTGCTCTATGCGTTAAAATAGGATTCCTTTTCTTCTTCTTCATCCTCATTGATTGATTTTATGGATGACGTAAGTCTTTC